GTTAGCTATTCCAGCCCAAAATTATCACAGTTCTGATATCTTGTACAGAACGGTCAGGAAGACGGACTGTGCAGCGTTGCCTCTCCCAGAGATGATAAGGAGCCCTTCCCGGGTGTCTGGAGTGAGACAGAAACTGACTTTCTTCCACTCTGTGCTTTTTTCCCAACTTACACAGAATTGCTCTTAAAGGCAATTTGATTCCAACCATCTGTGTTGCAAAAAGAGCTTTGAATTTGGAGTTGGACGACCCCCTTTGATCAAGTCCTGGTTCTGCCACTTATTGGGTGTGGGTGACCTTGGACAACTCCCTTTACCTTTCTGAGTCTCATTTTCCTCATCTGTAAAATGGGAGCAATAACGGAGAAGGACCTGGGAGGTTCCAATGAGATTGATTGTGTATGTTAAAGAGCTTGGTAAGCCTTCAAGTATCTCCTATTACCTTACATTTGTTATGGGTCTACTTTGTCCCTTCTCATCGATGTCCCCTTCCTCTCAGGGGACATAGAACCATTGCATGTGCTCTTTTCTGCTGTGCACCACTCCATTCATGTGTGCTTGAGCAGAAATGACTCTACAGTTGTGGATGAGAGCAAATGGAATCCTGAATGGGGAAGAATTGTTGCTGAAGGGTTGCAAGTATGTGCCTCCAAGGACTTGAGCCATTCCTGGGGCTGTGATACAAAATCCAGAGGGAAAGGCTGAGCAACACCCCGTCTGAGTCCAGTGTGATGGGGCAGAGGAGCCAGACGGAGCTGGGGCCTCCTCAGTGACTCCTGAGTGGATTTAGGCTGGCTTTGTACCAGCCCAATTCTGGAGTGAAACAGGTACCTGGCTCTGGGTCTCCCTGGAAGTTCATTTTCCAGGAGGAGGCCGGGGATTGAATGTCACCTTTCCATCTCAGACCAAAAGGCTGAATGTGACCGTGTTAGTTAGGCGTCTCATGTCCTTAAACTGCATCAGAATTGGATTGAGGTGAGTGAGGAGCAGAAAGAGGTTGAGAGGCCAGGGTCAGGGTTGGAGGGTGGGGTGGGGTTTGAAACTGACTCATCATTTCCCTTCCTGTCAAGACTGGCCCCCATTTTCCCTCCCCTCTCATATGGAAATATGATTTCCATATTTCTATTAATAGTATTATTATTCTTCCAGTCACCCATGTTTGAAACCTTGAAATTACCCTTGACTCTTTTCTCTGCCCCCTCCCATAGAGCCATTTAAATAGGAAAAAAATAACAACAGGTACATAGGGGAGGCACAGAGTCCAGGGAGAAAGAGGAACCCATTTTTTTCAGGGTACAGAGCAGAAAGACATACTCTAGCCTTCACATAAACCTTCCGTCACCAAATCCAGTTGGTTCTTTGTAAAGTTTTTCTAATATGGCAAAGTGAGTACGTTAAATGCCATATCGGATCTCATTTGAGCCTCAGAAATGGAATGTAAGCTGCCTGGAGAGGTGGTGAGTTCCCTGTCCTTGTTGGGTTTCAAGCAAGGGCTGGAGACCCTAGTGGTCTATTACGTTGGGGATTCCTTTCACATATGAGTTGGTCTAGATGGTCACTGATATCCCTTCTGATTCTGAAACTCTGCCATCCTGGGGTTCTGTGACTCAGAACCAGTGGCCAAGCTGCCTCCCAGCTGGAGAGTGAAAAGAACAAGGGGCCAAAGATGGAAGTGAGGGTCAGCCACGGTTAGGTTGTGGAGGGAGGAAAGAGAGCATCTGATATAAAGAAGAGGAAGTCGGGGGATACAAGGAAAACCAGGAGAGTGCAATGCCATAGGAGCCCAATGAGGGAATTTGCAGGAGGTGGTGCTCAAAAGCCTTGAAGGCTTCAGAGAGGGCAGAGAGGATGAGGACTGAGAAACCTTAGTTCTGGAGGCAAGACAGTGAGGCTGGACCTGTTGTTGGGAGGACCTGGGTTCACCCCATAGCTATGTGACCTTGGACAGGTCACTTTATTTCTCCATGCCTCAGTTTCCTCACATGCAAAGTGAGGAACATAATACACGCATATGCTACCACATGGAGTTGTTATAAGTAAAGTGCATGATAATCCTTAAAGCACTGTGTACAAAACAAACAAACAAACAAAAAAAAAAAACAACGGGGCAGCTAGGTGGCGCAGTGGATAGAGCACCGGCCCTGAAGTCAGGAGGAAGCCTCAGACCAAACACTTGACACTTACTAGCTGTGTGACCCTGGGCAAGTCACTTAACCCCAATTGCCTCACCAAAAAAAAAAAAAAACACAAAAAAAAGCACTATGTATACATGTGCATACCTCTACATGTATATGTACATACATATACATATGCAAGTTATTCTTATTGGTGACTTTGGAAAGGGAAGTTTTAGTATGGTAGCAAGAAGAGAAGTCAGACATCAAGGGGTTAGGAATCCAAAGAATGGACAAGAACAAGAGGCAGATCATCTGTTTGAGGAGTTTGGCAATGAAAGGAAGACGCAAATTGCTTTTTCTTTTTTTTAAGATAGGGAAGGGGACAGCTTGGTGGTGTAGTGGATAGAGAGCAGGCCCTGCAGTCAGGAAGACCTGAGTTCAAATCTGGCCTCACATGCTATTTGTGTGAACCTGGGCAAGTCACTCAACCCTGTTTGCCTCAGTTTCCTCATCTGTAAAATGAGTTGATGAGGGAAGTGGCAAACCACTCCCAGGATCTTTGCCAAGAAAGCCCCAAATGGGGTCTTGAAGAGTCAGACATGACTGAAATGATTCAACAACAACAACAAAGTAAGGAAGGCCTGAGCGTGTTTGAAGGAGAAAGGAAAGGGGACCTTAATGAGGGAAAGATCTGATATTTAGAGAGGTGATTATGAAAGTGAGGTCTTAGAGGTTTTTAACATTTTGTCCTGGAAGGAAGTGAACTCATTATGTGCCTACTATGTGCCAGGCACTATATTATCTCATTTGATCCTTACAAGACCCTAGGGGGTAGATGCTATTATCACCCCCATGTTACAGTTGAGGAAGCTGAGGCAGGCAGAGGTTAATGATTTGCTCAGGGTCACAGAGCTAGTAGGTGTCTGAGGTCAGATTCGAATTCAGGTCTTCCTTAGACCAGGACTCATCTAGGCATCCCTTCATGGGTCTCTTTGGTTTCATAAAACTTATGGATCCCTACTCAGAATAAAGCGTTTAAATCATTGGAAGAAATGCTAAATTTCAGTTAGACATTAACAAAAACAAAGATGTAAATTTTTCCCATCCAAGTTAACCGGAGTCCCTGAAATCTATCCTTGGATCCCTTGAAGGTCCATGGACCTCAAGGAGAAAAATAATCAGAATTTCAGTGTTGGGAGGAATCTCCAAGGAAAGCATGACCATGAGTGATGAATCAAAGTGGCCACATCTTCATGATTCTTCCTTTTCTTTAGCCTTGAAGATAGAGGGTAGAAATCAGACGCTGGGGTGATCCAGGAGTGGATAGATAGTACTGAATAGATGACAGTGAAAGGTAGGGTGGAGAAGGGAGTATGGCCAGGAAGGGCAAACAGACTGGATAAAGCAATCGATCACTTACCATAGTAAGCATTTATTAAGCACTGTTGTGTGGTGTGCTAGGCACTGAGGATACAGAGACCAACATTGAACCCATCTGTACTCTCCAGGAGCATCCTACTTGGAATCAGGAACCTCCAGTGACTGAACATCTTGGTGAGACCTGAGGGGAGGTGCAGTGGGTGAGCTGGGGGAGTGAGAGAGATGCAGGTAAGGATGCAGTGTTCAGAGCGGAGGAAGTAACAGATTCCATTGAGGAAAGGAGCAATGCCTTATTGGGGGTGGGGGTGGGAACAGTATTCTAGAAAGGGAGCTCTATTCCCAATTGGAGAAGTCAATTCTGCCAACTCTGAGGCTTTAGAGAAGTGATTTCCCCCCTTGTGGAGGAATTCCCTCATCTTTCTCTTCTGTAAAGTGAAGGCGCTGGGTTGAGCGCTCTTTAAGGACCGGGTCTATGATCCCAAGTTGCTGGCTTCTCAAAACCTCAAATTCCAAAGAACGTTCTCAGTGCTTGCAGTACTCACACTGATGTCAAGGTGGCAGCAAAGCCTTATCACTGATTCCTCAGAGACGGCGGCGGACCCCCCCCCCAACCCACCCACCCAACCCCGGCCCCTCCCTCTCACTCCTCACTGTGGCGGTAGCCCCAAGTCCAAAAGCAGATACCTCCCCAACTCCGGAATCTTAGCTCTGAGATCACTGGGTTCTGTCCTCAGAGGTTTCAGCACAAAACTCTCCAAGTGAGCTCCAGATGCACAGACTTGACGGTATTAGATGAGACTTTTTGGAACATAAAATCTCACTGGTTTTAATATGATGGGGAGAAGGATGGGACGGGGGCGGGGGCGGGAAGCTTTGCTTGTTTTTCACCTTCCTGGGGGGGGGGGATAGTCCCTTTGGGTAATTCTCTAGGAGAAAAAATTGTTAATGGTCCAATTTAATGACTGTTCTGAAAGGACGGACTGGGGTCTGGTCTGGGACTTCATCTCTTTTTGGGCGGGGGCGGAAAGGAAAAACTCTTTTTGTTGTTGTTGTTCTTGGAATTGAAAAAAAAAAAAACCAAACCTAAACAGGAAAAATACGCCTCTTTGTCTCTGAGAATCTCCCACCCCGCCCCCCCAACCCAAAGTTGGGGCTTTGATTCCTTACTCTGCTCCTAAGATCAGTTGTCCCAGGGCCTATGGCCCTCTCGGGACCTCAAAGGACTGCTTCCATCAAGTCCGTGGTGGGGCAGACTGGGAAGACTGCTGGCACCTGAAGTCGCGAAATTCTAGAATTAGAGCTGACAGGGACCTCGGAAGTCATTGTCTAGTCCAACTACCTCATTTTACAGAAGAGGGAAACTGAGGCATAGAGAAGTTCGATCTAGGTGCTCAAGGCAGGATTCAAATTGAGCTCTTCCTGCCTCCCACCAGTCAGAGAATCATCTGGAACGAGTCCGTTCCTCACTCTGTGCCTCAGTTTCCTTCTCTGTAAAATGAAGGGACTAGATGCTTGTGAGATCCCTTCTAGCTCTAAATCTATGATCCTAAGGAGGGGGAGCTATCACGATGGGGCCCAGAGTCCCCTAGAAACTGAGCAGTCCTGATGTGTCCTCTGCCTCTCAGCTTCGGGGTTCCTGCTCTCCAGAGCCAACCCAAGCGCATCCATGCAGCCACCCACCGCTAGGAGGAAATCACAGAGGCAGCCGTGGTGAAACATAAAGTTTATTCGGCTAAAAGTGACGCAAAAATTCTTTAAGAGCTCTTTGGCAGCCGATTATCTGGAAATCAGACCATGTGAGGGGGACTGGAGTACAAAAACCTCCCCCACCTCATGGGCTGCTCGCACGCTCGAAGTCAGGCACGAGAGTGACTTCAGGGGCAGGGGGATTCAGACTTGAATAACACTCGGGGGAGAAGGCGCTCAGAATCATCTGGCACACAGGTACTGACTCCTTTCTGTTTCCAGCCCACACCTCTGCCAAGTCGTGTTCTCCCTGCGGGGTGCTCGGGAGCTGTCCTCTCCGTTCTCTCCAAGCCTCTTCTATCTGGATCGGATTGGAGAGAGGCAGTAAGTGGGACCGAGAGATCCCTGTCCTCCGTCCCTCGCAGCTTTTCTGGGCAGCCTTAAGTTTCCAGAGCGCTCCAGCAAAGGAGGAGAGGAGAGGAGAGGAGAGGAGAGGAGCAGGGGCAGGGGGCTTGGCTGGGGATGCCCGGGGCTGCAGGTGTCTCAGTAATGGGGGAAGGTCTGGCTGGGGGAACGGAGCAGTGCAGAGAGAAGCTCTCCGTGTGGTCGGGGGCTCTGGGAGAGACTTTTATTCAGTATCATTTGGCTTTGACTTTGCATCTTAAGGAAAATTTCGTTTTCTTGTGGTTCCGTGCCCGTTGCCTCACCCAGGCACTCCTTCAGTGACCATTCCCGTTGGACACAAATGCTTGCATGCTGAGAGAAGTGAATGAATGAACGCATGCTTACGTGGGCTGGGTCCCACTCCCTGAGCCTGCATCCCCCTTATCGGCATGCAGGCAGCCTGCTCCAAGGCTCCACCGGCCATTCAGTTTCTGTCAAATTCAAATCTTTCTTAGACACAGCTGAAATTAATGAACTTAATACGAACTTTTTTTTTTTTCTGTGAAGCCAGAGAATCCGTGTGGTGTGGGTAGAGAGTGCTGGACCTAGAGTTAGGAAAAACTGTGTTCAGGTGCTGCTCTGAGGCAGGATTTACTGGCTGTCCGAGGCTCTGCCCAAGCTACTTCATTTTTCTGAGGCTCAGTTTCCTTATCTGTAAAATAAGGTTAGTAATACTTGTAATAGTAACTCACAGGATTGTTATGAAGTTCACATGAGGCATGTAAAGTTCTTTGCCAACTTTAAAATAGTATGTATGTTATTATTATGTCAGTTTCTTTAAGAGTTTACAAAACTCACCAAAGCCAGAGAGCTCCAAGCAGCTGGTTCCCTTCCCCAAGGAGCCTACTGCACACTAAATGAACATTTGCTGCTCTGGAAGGAAGCTTAGAAACCGTGGGGTCCAATCCCTTTAGTTTTACAGATGAGAAAGCTGAAGCCCAGGAAAGCTGAGTGACTTGCTCAAAGATGTAGAGATGGTAAGTGTCAGAGGTAAGAACCGAGCCCAGATCTTCCCACCACCAAATCTAACACTTTATCTACTACACCTAGGCTGTCTATTTTTCCTGGGTAAATGTGTATGTGATCTGTTTTGACGAGATGAGCCAGGTCAGTGGATTATTTATGAGTTTGCTTAGCTCCCTTTATGGTGAGAGAAGGGCAGCTGGTCTAAATATTGAATATTTTTTGCTTTCCATCCCATCAGGAAATGGTCTAAGAAATCTAACACTAGGGTTAGTGTGGAATGTGAAAAAAAAGAGGAGCTGAGCAGGGGAGGAGATCCATGTCTCTGTCTCCGGAGCGATGGGGTTGTAGAAGTGTGCAGCGTGGGCCCTGTGTTCCATTATCAGCTTTCAGACAGAGCCGTTCAGGTCAGACGGTTCATAGCCATCCTCTCAAGAGTTTTGGCTGTGGGGAGTGACCTGCCTGCTCAGGACTGTGGGCCCAAGAAACCCATACCTAGTGAGATGCAAGATATTTTGTGTTTGTCTCAGGGAACCAGGGAGAGCGATGAGTTTGATACGGCTGCATCAATGAATAAACGTCCCTTCCTCCCGCTAACTGGGTATAGGCAGTCCAATTAGGAAACCTCAGGGATGTTGCCTGCCAACTGAGTAATTCAAATCTATTTGTCATTACTAGTTACTCCTGCAAGACTCTGAATGTGCTGTGGGAAGCAGGAAAGGAATAACACTGTAGGCAGTTTTTGTTGGGTATCAGTAAGTTCAAGGACAAATATTCAGTCTGACTGGCCCCCTGGGGAAGGGAGGGCAGACGGATTTTCCCAAAATCTTCAGGAAAGAGCTATTCACCGTTAGGCGCCTGTTGAATTCCTTTCAGTAAATCTATTGGAAGCACACACTCTTACTGGAGAATGTCTCTTGTAACTTCCTTAGTGCTGGGGATATTAAGTCAAAAAGCAAAACAATTTTTGCCTTCGGGCCTTTACCTTCTCTTGTAGGGATACACCATGTACACAGATAAATAAATGCAAAATATTTACAAAACGATGCGAAATGATTTCAAGAGGGAGAGTAGCACCTGGGTGCACTGGGGAAGGTTTCCTGAAGGAGAAACCTTAAAGGAAGCTAGGGGCTTCTGAGATGCAGTGCTGCCTAAGATTTAGAGTCAAATGTTCTAGGTTCAAATTCTGCTTCAGATACTTACTGACTGCCTGATCCTGTTTTGGGGGCAGGGATCACCTTACTTCTCTGGGATCTAGTTGTAAAATTGAGATCTTGGACTAAGTGCCTTCTAGCTCTAAGTATATGGACTGATGAAGATGGTGAGGTGGGGTGAGGAAGGAGCAGACTCCAGGCATGGCATTAGGGCCTACTCGTGCAAAGTCACAGGGGTGCAAGATGGGATGTTGTACACTTGGATGTTTCATTGTACTTCTTTGGGGGTGGGGCACTGGAAACTCTTCCCTGCCGCAACCTGGCCAAAATATCCTGAATGTGCCAGCAAGTCAGTCCAGGAGGTACCTAGGTAACGTCGTACGCTAAGTGGATTTGGTCATGGGGCAGAGATGATAATGCAAGAGGCTTCTTGGAAAGCAGCCTGGGAGGTTTAGCTCTTGGTGTGTTGAGGAGACAGATACAACAGGGAAAGGTCACAAGTTTTTGCCTTTATCTAAAGAAGTCAGAGCAACAAATGTGCCCTAGGAGAGTGTTCTGGGTAAATGGTTTTCAGAGGGGGTATGGGCTCTTGTTCTTGACTGCCCATCCCCGCCCACCCTCTCTCTGTTTGTACTTGGCAATCCCAGAATCACAGCTCAAAGGACGGGCACAAAGAAACCTCCCATGAGCCCTGGCTATCCACAGCAGGAATGATGGGTGCTCTGAAGTGGTCCATGACCACCTCTACAATCCCTTTCTCAGATGCTGTACTGTCTCCCTCATGAGCAAGTCAATCCCTGGAATATTTCTGCAGAACATTCTTAAGCCAAAGTCGCTCTACTCCAAATCTGGAGCCGGGAGTACCAACTCTGCTACATAAAGTAAGATTTACAAAGTGCTTTCCTCCCATTAATCCTGGGACATTGATAGTGCAGTATCTATTTTTTTCAATAGGCTCAGAGAGGTTAGGGGTATACCAGTGGTTACTCAGCTAGTAAGTACATTAGGCAAGGTTTGAACCCAGGTCTCCAGCTCTAACCTAATGCTTCTTCCTTTGTACTTTAATGTCTCTAGAGCATTTGGGTGTGAATTACCTGTGTATTCTAAGTAGGCTGCTTCCCTCTCTGGGTCTCAACTTCCTATAGCTCTAAACTTAGGGGGTTGGATTTGAAGGGTTCTGAATTCCTTTCCCCCATCTTGCTGATGTTTGTTTGTTTGTTTGTTTGTTTGTTTGTTTTTCTCAATCCACACAATGTCTTATGTGGTAGAAATGGGCTGGGCACAAACACTTCAGAGCATTTTATTTTCCCTACAGATTCTGCTAATTCACTTTAACCTACTAACTAGCCATGGTGAATTGGCAGATTTCAGGGTGTGTGGGGAATGCAATCAGGTGCTGAGCACAACACCAGAGGACTAGATGCTGCCTTACTTACAAAAATCTATTATGTGTGGGAAGAAACCAGTATAGCCTTCTTCCCTTGTGGATATAGAAGTACTTAGCACAACTATGTGAATAAATACAAAGAATTGACCAACCTGTACTTTTTCTTTTCTCTTTACAAAATCACCCTTTCTACTCAAAATGTCAATACTTTACTCATTTACAGATTTGACTCAACACCAACCAAAGTGTCAATGGGGTCCTCAATAGAATTCAAAAGTCATAACAAAATTAATATGGAAAAAGAGAAGGGTTAAACTATCAGGGGTAACCATGGTGGGGGAAATGCTGTTGTTGGGCATCAGTGGGCACACTGTTGCACAAACTGGCCCTTGAGTCTCAAAATGTATTATGAAGAGGTTATTATAAAAATGGTTAGTATGGGAATCAAGATTTTTTTCAAACAAAAGAAAAACTATAAATCAATGGAACTGAATAGAAAGTCCAGAAACAAAACCTAATACACATGAGATTAGTGTTTGAGAAACTGAAGCCTAAAATATAGCAAGGAAGGGAATGCTTATTTAATAGACTGTTGGAAAAATTGAATATAATGAAAAATGCATTAACATCATATACCACAATCACCTCTGATTGGATTAATCATCTAATTATTTTTAAAATCACAAACAGTTTTAAGAAAGGAATAGTATATTAATCTCAACTGCTACAGGGACGAACAAATTTATTGGCAAACGGGAAAAATATTGGAGACAAAATTGAGGGAGCTGATTATATGAAGATAAAAGGATTTTGCATGATAAAGTAATATCTCTAAAGTGAAAGGGGGAATGGACTAGGAAAAAATATTCATGGTAAATAGATCTGATAAAAATCTGACATACAACATTTATAAGAAACTAATACTGACTTATTTATAAGAGTAGATTTGTTTATAGGAATATCCCCATATTGGTACATTTCTTCAAATGGAGAAATTATCAAAGAACATGCTAAGGCAGGTTTTGAAGAAGAAATACATATTGTAAATAACCACATAATAAGACGTTTGAGCTAATAATTGAGAAAACAAAAATCAAAGCTTAAAGAAACCACCTTTACTACCATACAATTAGCAAAAATAGCTCAAAACAATAACATTCAGTGATGGGGTGATGGGACCTGGACCTCTAAAAGGAAAAGACCATGCTTTGAGAGCAACCCAGGTCCCATCACCCCATCATTCAACGTTGGAAACAGGCCCCCTACTATATTATTGGTGCTGTTATAGATGCAGGGGTGGGGAACCTGTG